CTGATTCTTATTCCATTACAGAATCACCCACGCCTGGATCATCAATTTCGCTGGTCTGGCGCGCCTGTCCGCTCGTTCCTCCACCACATGGACCATCGCAAGCTGATGGCCCGATGTAGGTTGTTGCGCTTATGTGGACGCGCGCAAACACAATGGGATAATCGTGCCACTGCGACAGGCCAGACCCAGACACGACGTGCTGGCGGGCAACTTTGAGTTCAAGTATTTGTCAGTGATCCTCTCCGTCTTCTCTCTGTTTTCTCTCTCCTCCTCTACTCTCCTCTCGTTTCCTATCTCTCTCTCTCTCTCTCCCTCGCTCTTCGGGCCGTTGGGTCCCTCTGCCTACCGCTCCGCGGGGGGAGTTCCCGCCCAGAGTTCGCTGGACGCCCGCCTCGCCTTCAGCTTCTCGGCTCTTCTGCGTCCTCGTGCCCCTCCTCGAGTCGACAGTCGGCATATTTGATTGCCAGCGGGCAGACAGTCCCCATATTATGCAGCGGGCTCATCGGGGGGGCAAGCATTCGGAGCGTTGTACAAGTATAGCTTCGGAGCGTTGTCCAAGTATAGCGCGGATGGACAAAAACTCATGGGGCTCTCGCTGCCCATCTCCGAGCCATATGCTGATCATGAGCTGCGTGATGCCTCCTCCCCTTCTCACCCCCCTCCCCTTTCCCATGCGCGCATGCAGATGCACGCGTGCTCAGACCCAGTCTGCACCTAGACTTGAAGCATACTCAGACTTAGTCACGGGCAGGTTCGCCCACATCCAGACCCACTCATCACTCCCGGGCTCGCATCACCACGATGTGGGTAGCAGGCACTGTGCGCGGCCCCCCTCTGGGGGGGAGGGCGGGGGGGCGACCAGGGCTGCACCACGGGCGCGCTCGCGGCCAGACGCCTGCGACCTCACGGGCAGCAGGCCCGCTTCTGGGGCCGACGCGTGGCTCTCCGAGGCCCCCGCCATCACCGCGATGCCGCAGCCATCGCGCCTGGGCATCCCAAGTGGGAGCCGACCAGGGTCTTATCACGGGCGCGTTCGCGCCCCAGACTGGTTTGACCGCTCGAGGAGGGTGGCCACTCGGGGAGGCATCCGGGCCCCCTTCCAGGGACTCGCAGCCACCGAGACACGAGGAGCCGACCAGGGTGGCATCATTAGCACGTTCGCGACCGGACTGGTGGATCTCTCGGGTGAAAGGAGGTTCTTGGCATCGCTCGAACGTGTGCGTTTGTTTTCCTGGCGAGGACCATCGAGGAGCATTTTGGATCATCCTGCGAAGAAAAAGTGCTCGAAACCGACAATTGCACGGGGAATGGACGTGCGAGCGATGGCAAGGGTCATGCGTGTCCTCACAGAACCCCATGATCACAGCGGTGCAGCAAGCATTGCAGTCGGTTCTCACAGATGGGAGCCGACCAGGGTGGTATCATGGGAGCGTCAATGCAAAGATTGGCGGGACATCTCTAATATGATAGCCGCTTTGGGAGCGCAGATGTGTTCTCCCACTCTTTTCGTGCCAAGATGCCTCTGGAGTGTCTAGAGTTCAGGAGGCTCCGGGAAGCTCCAGGAGGCTTTGGGAAGTCCCAGGGGTCCCCAGGTAGCCCTAAAGGGGTCTAGGAGGCTGGGGTTGTTCCAGAAAGCCGAAGAACACCCAGCTCACTCATATCTCGGCTTGCTCATCTCCAGACGATCAAACTCATTAACACTCGCATCTAGTCATACCCATGTTCGCACCATTCTGAATCAGGCTTGTATTCTGGACCCACTCATGGTAAGACTTGCAGATGCGCTCATAGTCCGTTTCTCTCGAACACAGACAGATTCAGTCACATTCTGATTCGCTCATACTCAGAAGCACTCCTACTCAGCCACGCTCGCTTACTGGCTCGCCCTCGCTGGTATCCACTCACATTATCCAGCGTGGACCCCAAACCGTCAGTGATTGCAGGCTTAAAGTGCAAGCTATGCGGAATTAGCCATGCGGTACAAGCGATGTTGTGCAAGCTATGCTGAGTCAGCTACGTTGTCTTACCTGTGCTGTGTAAACTATGTGGTGTGATCCATGTTGTTCAAGCTATTCGGTGTGACTGGTTGGTGTGAGCCATGCTGTGTGAACTGCATGGTGCAAGATCTGTTGTCCGAGCCATGTGGTGTATGCTTTGTCACCCGAGCCTGGGGAGCCCACGAGGCGCCCACGTGCGGGAACGTGGCGAAACCTCGGCGGCCCAGGGCGCGATGCGTCCACGGGCACCCACGGGAAGGAGCGTGGGCGAAGCTCCTGGCGGACCGCCGCGATTGCTCAGGCGCCCAGGTCAGAACTCCTGCGTGCAAACGTTGATGGGGGAATGTTTGGACCCGCCCACCCTGATTCACACACTCAGCCTCCCGCGGGTGTGTCAATCAGGGCTGCTTCACGGGCGCGCCCGTGGCGCTGACGGCGACACTTGAAGATGGGCTTCTCTGAGGGCCGCCTCTGAGAGCCGCAGGGGGAATCTTCCAAGCCGTCGGGAGACGCCTCGCGGACCGTCTGGGAGGTTCCTCCAAGCCGTCGGGAGAGGCCTCCGGGCCGCTCGCAGCGGCTCCCGGGCGCGCGGGGCTCCGGGGCTCCCGGGGAGGAGGCCTCGGAGCCGCCGCGTCAGAGGCCCGCAGGGGCCCCCCCCGGGGAGTGGCCTCGGGCCCCGCGGCAGAGACCCCCGCGAGCAAGGGCTCCCACGAGGGCGCGAAGTTATTCGCGCTTCGCGCTTCGCGGTCCTCGTTCCTTCTCCCCCCTCCTCCTCGTCCTCCTTTTCTCCCTTTGGGGGGGCGGCGCGAGGGCGCGAAGTTATTCGCGCTTCGCGCTTCGCGGAGCGCGAAGCGCGAAGTTGGGAGCCCTAGGCGAGGATGCCCCGGATGCTTCCCTCGTGCTCGCCTCCCATGCCCGGCATCGCTCGGACGTGTGCGCTTCTTCCTCGGCGAGGCCCATCGAGGAGCATCCTTGATCATGTGGCGAAAAAGCCACGCACAAACACAGGGAATGGACGTCCGAGCGATGGCGAGCATGCGGCGGCGGGCAAGGGGAGGAAACGAGGAGGAGAAGGCCTTCTCAGAAGGCGGCGGGACTTCTCAGAAGCCCGCCGGCCTTCCGAGCAGTTTTCTGTGTCTCCGTGAGGAAGGCTTCTGAGAGGGCTGGGGAACTTCCGAGCCTTCTGAGCAGGCCCGCTCCTTCTCACTTCCCCCCCGGGCGCGCCGCCTATCTTTGGGCCTCCTGAAGGGCCCTCGTCGCCAGGGCCAGATGCGCCTCGAAGTCTCAGTCAGAACCCACCCGGGGACAGGTCCGGGGGAGGGGCCCTCAGTGCCTGCAGCAGGGACCACGACGACTGGAGCCCCGAGTCATCGGGGCTGGGGCCAGGGGCACCTCGTAATTCGCGCCTCGAGGGCCCAAGTTGCCCCGGACCGGAGCCATCCCAGAGAATTCAGACGTCCGACCGAGGATGCATGGACAGAAGCCCCACGTCACAATCTTGTCGTCATGCGCAGGTGAGGGGGGCGAGATCGCAGTGAAACGGAGAGCCCCCCACTGGGAAGTCGGTTTGGGTTTCGTGTTCGTCTCGTGCGTGCGGGCGAGGTGAACCTGCGTGGGCGGGCGAGAGCTATGAACGTTCCCACGGCTAGGGTGCCACCGGGCCAAAAGACCGCCCCCCCCCAAGGTTGTTCAGCGGTGGCCTGGGGTGTCCCGCCGTGGTTCCCTGATGGTGTCCCGTGGTGTCCCGTGGTGTCCCGTCGGTGTCCGGTAGTGGGGCCGATAGTGAGATCGATAGTGTGACCGATCGTGAGATCGATGTTGAGATCGATAGTGAGACCTATAGCGAGGTCGATCGTGAGATCGATAGTGAGATCGATAGTGATATTCATAGGAAGATCGATCGTGAGATGGATAGCGAGATCGATAGTGAGGTCGATAGTGAGATCAATAGTGAGATCGATATGGGGTCGATAGGTAGTGAGATCGATTGAGTGAGACGTTGGTTCCGTTGGCTCCTCCCCTCCCCTGGACCGCCTGATCACCCGAAGGGTGGTCGTATAGGTATGATGTTTGAAGATGTTTTCAGAGCGCGCCGCAGAGCTCAACCCGCGATAACGTCAAGCCCAGGTTTGCTGCCCTTGGGATCCTGACTTGGCTCTGGCAACGGCCACGCCGCAGAGCTCAACTAAGGCTGGGACCAGACTCCTAAAAAGTTCACGACCCCCTGAGCTCCATCTCAAGGTTAGGCTGAGATCCAGCATGGGCCCACTTGCGAGCGGGGTGGTTCGGTCCTCTGTCACCGCGGTGGCAATTTGTAATTGAGGTGTTACGCATGATTCAGGACAATAGTCTCTAGCACGCACTGTCAGCGCAATACATATGCAAATCCGCCCAAACTCTTCGCCGGATGATGGTAATGACGATGTTCAAGACGATGTCAGGATGGTGATGTTGATGATGGCAGCGCTTGGAACGATTGTGGGGTCGTTGTCACGCCTCACGGTCGCTGGTTCGGGATTGAGGCGCCATTGGTAGAGGCTTCAGGGCCCAAGGGCAGCCGAAGCCCTATTAGCTTCTGCAGCCTTGTCGTCATCCTCCCTGAAGCGCCCCTCGGGCTCATCAACAGAGCGGCGGCTGCGATCATGCCCACAGGAGCATGGCGCGGACAGAAAGCATATCCCAGCCAAGCCCGTAGCAGTTTTGGCGCAAACCACTAATATTAGATCCTCTATCAGGGCTTTGCGCTGCAATCAAGCACGCAACCTGCTCCGCAGGGCTATCACCTGTCTGCTTGCCAAGCGCTTCCAGAAAGCGCTGTATGCGCTAATGTTGACCGCCTGCGCCGTAAGGCGGTTGATCCGATTGGCCCTGCTGCCAGCATTTCTGGCTGCCCCTGGGGAGGCGATCTCTGTCTCGCGAGTTCAGAAGACGGACGCGCTGAACTTCACTAATCGGTCGCACGATGAGAGCGACCGCAAGTACACCTACAAAACCTATAGCGAGATCATGAGCCTCTTCGAGGACATCGAGCGAAGGTGTCCCGACATTGTCGAGCTCTTCGTCGCGCAGGAAGCTTTCCCAGAAATCTTACCCTCGAAAGAGACGTGGGCATACTGCGAGGGACAGCCGTGCAAGACGCTCATAGTTCGCGTCGGGAACAAGCAGAAGATGACTAACACCACCCCGGAGGTCTTCTTCAGTGGGGCGTTGCACGGGGACGAGCGGATCGGACCGATCACGGTCACCGAGTTGGCAGATTTCTTGTGCACGCAGTACATGGCAGGAAACGAGGAGGTCCAGCATTTAGTGGACACGCGCAACACTTGGATTATGCCAATGACCAACGCTGTCGGGTACGCTCAGAAGACACGCCGGGAGAACGGCATGGACCCGAACCGCGATTTCCCTTACATGCAGGACCCCTCGCAGTGCATGACAACGCAGACAGCTCGCGCCGTGAACGAGCTGTTCCGCAGACACCTCTTCCAGTTCATGATCACGTTCCATGGCGGAATGCGGGCGCTGACCTACGAGTGGGGTTCCCCGAATCACCGCCAGGGAGGATGGTCGACCGAGTCCCCCGACGACCTTGCTTTCAGCCAGGTGGGGCAGGAGATTCAGGAGGCGGCCGGAAGAGACCAGCAGGGCGACCATTTCTACCCCCTGGGCAGGATCAACGACATGGTCTACCCTGTCAACGGCGGCATGGAGGACTGGTCCTACGCAGCAGGCTGGGAGACTGGCCCAATCACCCCTTGCAGGCCAGAGACGTATGGTGGTTACGACGAGTCGCGCACCAGGTACGCGCCTGGCAGCGTCGGGACGCTTGTCTACCTTGCCGAGATGGACGACCAGAAGACCCCCTCGCAGGACTCGCTCGGGCGGGCCGCGCAGGTATTCGGCGCAGACCCTGGGCACGGCCACGTGCCGCGGAACATGCGCATGTGCCTCAAGCTCATCGAGCTGGCCAGGCCCGAGCTGGTCGTGCAGCGGCCCACGTGGGGCACCGCCGTCTCCCGGGGCTCGGAGCTGCGGGTGGGCCTGCGCGCCCTCGGGTGCCTCCGGCTGAGCACGGCCCGCCTGCTCCTCGTGCCGCGGGCCTCGGCGCAGGACTGCGGCGGCCTGCCCGGCCTGCAGGGCGGCGGGAGCGCCGAGGCGCGGGGCCGGATGCTGGCCCAGGCCCTGGAAGTCGCGGCTCTGCGCCAGCCGGCCGCCTGCCAGGGCTTGTCGATCTTCGGTGGCTCCACTCCTCTGAGGGGCCGACCGTCCACCACCACTACCACAGGCGGGAGAGGGAGCAGGGGAAAGAGGAGGAGGAGGAGGGAGGAGGAGGAGGAGGAGGAGGAGGAAGAGGAGGAGGCGGAGAAGGAGGAGGATGACCTTCCCATCCTCCCTTCTCCCCCCGTCCTGCTTCCGGCAGCGGCAGCGGAAGATCGGGCCCTCAGCTTCGTGGCGGCGGCCAGGGCAACGGGTCCGCGGGCGCGCTGCGCCTGAGCGGCGCGGTCCCCGCCGGCGCGGCGGGCGAGTTCTGCGCGGTGGTCGCCGCCGAGTTCGACCAGGAGTGGGCGGCGCAGCAGCAGCCAGACCCGCACACGGGCCCCCGGGCGTTCGCCTCGAGGCTGCGCCTCGATGGCCGCTACGAGGCCAGGGCCAGCGACGGGCCCATTCGGCTGCACGCAGGGAGTGGCCCTTCGCCGGAGTGACCTTTGGGTTCGGTCTCGACGGGACTCTGGAAGGTTTTTCCGAAGGCTCAGGCGGCCCGTCCTCCTCCTCCTTCCCCTCCCCCTCCTCCTCCTCCTCCTCCTCCTCCTCCTCCTCCTCCTCCTCCTCCTCCTCCTCCTCCTCCTCCTCCTCCATCTCCTCCATCTCCTCCTCCCCCTCTTCCTCCTTCTCCTCATCCATCTCCTCCATCTCCTCCTCCCCCTCTTCCTCCTCCTCCTTCTCCTCCTCGCGGCCCAGCGCAAGCAGGCCAAGGCTACTGAAGCCGTCGGCGCCCAGCAGAAAGTTATTGAGGCGGCTCAGAAGTCGCTGCTTGAGTTGCAGGAGAAGCAGGCTGCCTGCCAGCGAGAGGTGGCGGCCTTGGAGGAGGAGCTGCGACGCACCATGCCTGCGGGCCCTGGCGCCAACTCCAAGTTCACGGAGGTCAAGCTGGAGCTCCCCACGGAGGTGCTGGATGATGAGGCGAACGCTGACGTCAAGCAGCTCTTGTCCAGTGCGGCCTTCGCCAAGTTCCAGGAGCTCTACAGAAAGGCTGCTCCTTCCCCTCCCGCTGCCGCAGGTGCTGCAGGCGGAGGCGGCGGAGGAGGTGGGGCTGCTGCTGCCGCTGGCCAGCCTGCTGCTGCAGCACCGCCTGAGGGAAGTGACGCCCCCATGCCGCAGGCCCAGTACTCGGGCTTGTCAGCTGAGGATATCGATGCTCTCTTCCAGACTAATGATAAGCGTGAGTTCGAGGAGCAGCTGGAGGCCTTGGGAGTCAAGCGTCAGCGTACGTCGCCTCCCTAACCCTCCTTACCTGAGTGGTCTCCCAGTTTCTTCTATGGGCCACATTGTTCCGCAGCATAAGGGTTCAAAGTCGTCTTCGGCTGCTGGTGGTCCACAGTTTCTGGAAACTTTCAATGGTAATTGCCGTGCTACGCTTCTCGAACGTTTACGATCTAGTGATTCGATGGTGATTTGTGCGCAGGAGATTGGTACTGGCCCTGATGCAGTGCCTGACCTTCAGCGTGCTGCTCGCACTGCAGGTTTTCGTGCTTTATGCAGTCCGTCGCGATGCTGTGCACGTGGTTCACACTCAGCGGGAGTAGCCATATTTGCTCGGCAGCATCTTGGATTGCGATGGAATCCTACAGGCGGTGAGCTTGTTAAAGGCCGGCTTATTTCAGCAGTTGTTGATATCCCAGGCTGGCCTGAGTTCGTGGTTTATTCTGCATACTTTCATGATAGTGTTGGATTGGACACGGCCAACATGAACCTGCTGTCTGTGCTTGGGGCTTCCATTAGCCGCTCTGCTGGATCGTTTTTGGCAGCTGCTGATTGGAATGTTGAACCTGAGGTGATCGAGCAGAGTGGCTTCACGCGCAAGGCTGGTCTTATCACGATGGCACCAGCTCGGCACACGTGTATCATGTCGGCCTCGGCTAGTACGATTGATTTCTTTCTGGCATCTCAGGACATCGTCAGGGCCACGGAGAAGGTTCGAGTGTACTCTCAGTGGCATGGAGGACCTCATAAGCCCGTTCGACTCCATCTTCGCCCTGATGCGGTCAACCTACGCCAGCTGGTTTTCTGTGCTCATACACGTTTTCCTGTGCTTCCTCCTTTTGGGCCACGTCCTGAACCACGATGCTGTGTGGCAGCACGGCAGATGGCGGATGAAGCAGTGTACTCAGCAGAGTTTGATTCGATTGGTACAGCATGGGCTAGGCTCAATCAAGCTTGGACTGTTTTTCTCGAAGATGTCGAGATAGAGATCGCAGGCGCCTTGGACTTCCCCATCCAGAAGCTCACCAGGCATAACTATCTTGCACGACGATGGGTACCAGTTCTGGGGCGCAAGGATCACGCACAGGATCCGATGCTCATTGCTCGAGGCTGGCAGTGGCTGTACCGTGTGTGGCATGAGTTTGAGTTGATGGTTCAGCAGCGTGCTGAGCTTCACCAGCACCCGGCTGCCATTTCTCTTAAGCAGACTTGTCTTGTGGAGAATTACCCTGGCGAGGGCTTGGACGTCAGGCTCGACTCACAGGTCATCGCTTTGAGGCAGCTCATCCATGGGTATCCTGAAGTATATCCTCATGAGTGGTGGGATCGGGCTACTTTCTTTGGTGAACACTTGTCTGTGGAATTTGAAGCAGCCACAAAAGAATCCTTGCGCTTACGGCAGCAGTCGTGGACGGAGTGGTGCGACACTGCTCTCAAGGGTTCGGCTAAACTGATGCATAAGATCACGCGACTTCAGAAGGTATGGTGCCCCACAGTGGTTCAGAAGGCTCCTGGCATCTACTCCAGCAGTCCTGAGGAGGTGCTCAACTCGGAGGTCGGGATGCTGCAGCAACAGTGGAATGCGTCGACGTCGCCTCCACGTGCCGAAGTACCTGATCGTGAGTGCTTCCCGCGGGCCACTGCTGATGAGCTTCGGAGTGCTTCTCGGTCTTTTTGCCAGTTCACGTCATCGACCTTGGACGGCTTTCATCCCCGACATATATCGCTTTTGGGGGGCCCAGCTCTGGAGACCCTCAGTGTATTGTTTGAAGCAGTGGAACGACTAGGACTCTTTCCTCGTCACTTCATGTGGATGGTCTTTCCACTTATTGAGAAGCCAGCGGGAGGGCACCGTGCCATCCTCTTGTTGGCCAGCTTTGTTCGTGTATGGGAGAGGCTTCGCCGCCCCATGCTGGATCCCTTCTTTGCGGCCACGGAGAGGGCCTACTGGGCCTTTGGTTCTGGGAAGAGCGCTGAGTCATGTGTGTGGGCCCAGACGGCCCTTGGAGAGATTGCGGCGGCGGATGATCAGGTGGTCCTGGGAGTCCAGTGGGACGGCAAGAAATACTACGAATCTTTCCGTCTGGAGCTTCTGCGCGACCGAGCTCGACAATGGGGCATCCCTGGGGTGATTGTAAAAACGATGTTCAATCTCTGGCGCTCTCCGCGGCTGATTAGGCTGGGCATCTCCTTTCATCCAGTTGCACTTTTTGCTCAGAGCGGCCTACCTGCAGGTGATATTTTCAACGATGCTTTCGTAAAGGTATATGCGATCGGGGCCTTCGACGCTTTCACGGCTCGCTTTCCACATCCTATTCGGCTGTCTTCGTATGTCGACGACGACACGATCTTGGCGACGGGTACTAAGGCTGACTTGCTTAGATTGGTTCCAGATCCAGCTGAGGATTTTTATCACACGTTTCGGGGACAACTTAGAGCCGACATATCGGAAACTAAAGCTATTACGATTGCCAGCTCACCATCCTTAGCTAAGGCGCTAGCGCATCAACTTCAGCTCCGAGGGCTCCCAGCAGGCACCATAACCCACTCGTCGGTGAATCTCGGGGTCGACTTTACGCCTGCGCAGGTTCGGATGACGAAAGGGGCCCTTCGTAAGCGTCGCGAGCGGTTTCGCCAGTTTCGCCTTCGACATTCTCGGGTTCTTCGATTTCGTAAATGGTTATCTCACGGGAAACATCGAATGGCAGTAATACATCAGGCCGGCCTGAAACCAGCTCTTGCTTATGGCAGTTCTGTGCTTGGAATGTCTGACTACGAGCTACAGCGAGCTCGCGCCACACTTCTCAGTTTTCGCTCTCCATCGCATAGGGGTGGATCTTTGCTGTCGAAGATTGTGCTCCACGGCGACCCGATGGCCGACGTCAGCGTTGCACCTGCAGTTGCATGGAGTGTGGCAGTTTGGCAGGCCCTGGTTGCACCAGAGCGCGCTCTCTTCAGCATTCGAGAGCTTCATCAGATGTTCCAGGTAGTTCAGGAGAGAATGGAGCCACATCACAGATGGCGACATACGAAAGGACCGATCTCGCGGATGCTCCTCTCTCTCCAACGTGTTGGCTGGTCTGCTAAGAACTTCGCTCTCTGGGAGGATGATAAGGGGGTGGAGATCTCGCTCATGTACACGGCTCCTAACATGCTTAAAGGTTTGCTTCGAGATGCTGTTCAGCGTAAACATGAGCATGACATGGCACGTAGTGTAGATAATTTTGAGCATGCACGTGTGTGTTCTGACATTGTGCGTAGCATAGTGTGCACGTCTAAGAAGTATACGCCTAGGCAGAAGTATGCTGTAGCTAGTTGCTTTTGTAAGGCTGTGTTCACGTGTGACAGGTTAAACATAGATGATGGCCTCTGTCCACGTTGTGGTGCCCCTGATAGTGTCTTCCACAGACTCTGGGTGTGCCCAAGTCCCGAGGTTGCGCAGGCCCGAGGAGAGGTAGCCACCCCAGAGCTTGTGCAAGAGGCCTTGGAGGCTGGTCCGACGAACCCGCTTTGGACTCGCCTCATCTTTCCTCATCCTTCTCTCACCTTCCAACCTCCTACCGATTTGATCTATCCTGAGCTCTTAGATGCGCAAGGCAATGTCCTGTCGGACTTCTCGTGTATCGAGGGAGCCAGCGATGTCGTCGTCGATGGGTCGTGCACGAGGCCTCCGATACGCGAGCTTGCGCGAGCTTCCTTTGCTGGAGTGTTCCTTGAGCGAGGCTCGGAGGAAGTCTTGGCGAGGTTTCGTGGGCCGGTCTGGCCAAGTTTGCCGCAGACCCCTCAGGCAGCTGAGCACATGGGTTTAGTTGCTATAAGTTTCTTTGTGGGGCAGCTGACGCACCAGCTCGGTGTTTTTTCGGACTGTCTGGGTCCCGTGCGGTATCATAATCAGTCGGCTGCCCTTCAGGTGTCTTCCAGGAACAAATATGCTGGGCTTCGGAGGGGTTTTTGGGAGATCCAAGGCTCGAAAAACGTCGGCCCTGCGACCCACACCCCTGCCCATCGAACCATGGATGTAATTGATGCTCTTCCTCCAGAGGAGCGTAGGATAGGACGTGCTAACTTCCATGCGGATCGTTTCGCGAAGGAGGCTCTAGCACTGCACGCGCAGGAACCTCAAGAGTCCTGGGATGACCTCTCGGCCCTGGTTGGCAAGGCCCGAGCTGTGGCCCGTGTGATGGGGACGGTTTTACCCCTGTTTCCGTTTTCCCAGTTCCCTGAACGGAGAAAGGTTCCTTGCCCTAGGAGCACAGGTGCTAACCGATGGCATGCGTGGACTGCTGTCCCAGGTGCACCAGGCTCCTTCATTTGTTATGACTGTCACGCTCGCCGTACAGGTACTTGTGCTAATGCTCTTGATATGTCGGGCTGCCCAGGGAGGAGGCAGAACTTCTCTTTCCTGATGCGGCCCGCCCTCGGACATGACCTGGTCTACACGCGTCTCTCGTCAGGTCCGAGCTTGGTCTTTTGCAGGCGCTGCGGTGCCTACAGCACTGAGCGTCTCAGTCGTCAGCTTGAGAAGCAGTGCCGTGGCTATGTGGTGTCGTCGGCCAGTAAATGTCGCCTCAATCGTATGCTCCGAGGCCTCCACCCCCAGTCCAATCGTGCCGCACCAGGTGTTGTGCTCCACATTCTATGTGATATGGAGCGCCAGAGGTTACTTGAGACCCAACAGCGCCCTCGACGTGCTGTGTGGTTTCAGCGTCCTCAGGGTGATTTTCCAGGCACGGGTTTAATCTTAGGACTGGAGGGGATGAGGCAGCGGATAGCAGCACGAGAGGAGGCGCGAGGTTTCCAGGAGCCAGTTTTGAGGGCCCCAGTGCAGCGGTCGCCTGCACTGGAGCCCGATGTCCTTGGGTCCCGAGGCCATGCCCAGGGGTCTGGTGCCCCAGAGCAGGGTCCCGATCCAGAGGAGGAGGCCGCTCGCTTCCTCTATGGATGATAAAACGTTTTGCGTTCTACCCCGCGGGGAAAAAAAAAAAAAAAAAAAAAAAAAAAAAAAAAAAAAAAAAAAAAAAAAAAAAAAAAAAAAAAACTCCTCATCGGGTCGCCTACGGCCCGGGGGGCCAAACCGTGCACGGGACCCCTCGATCGTTGAATGCGATACGATGGCAGCGGCTTGCGCGCCTGGCGGTGTACCCAAAGGACCCCCCCCTGGGCGCGCACCATAGGCAACTCTTGCGCAGGGTCGTTCCTTGCGCGTAGCCGGCCCATGCGTCTCGACGAGTACCGTGTCAAGCTCTTTCCAGTGCAGGCCGAGCCTCTGCGCGTGGGCGCCCGAGGCGCGCTTGCAGGGCACGCGCCTGGCGCCTTGCGGAAGGGGCGGCAGCACATTCGAAGGAGAAAAAACGGCATAGACATAACCTGTTGGCGCTCCGCGCGGATTTCTTGAACCCGCGCTGGGCTTCCCCAGCGGCGCCATCTGGCGCTGCCCCTGGCGCACTCCGCGTGCCAGGGACGGGGTCCAGCGCAGATCCAAGGAATCCGCGCGGAGCGCCAGAAGTTTATGGTTATGTCGTTTCCTTACCTTTCTAGCACATGCCAGCGCATGTACGACCACTTTGCAATCGAGCCCACGTGCCACTCGCCAGTGTAGCGAGCTCTCTTGTCGTTTGTGGTCGGTTTTGGTGGATGATACACAGACTGTGCACAAGTCGACGACCCGAAATCCTTCACATCAGTAATTTTGGGTCTCGGAGCCCAAAGGGCGGTTTTTCATGTTTTCCATTCGACGTTCCATGAAGCCCGATGTCATTCCGAGGCGCGCGTCGAACGTTTTCGATGGCGCGTCGCGTTATGCGATGTCACGTGCGTTGTGGTCGTCAAAGGCTTGCGTGCTTGTTGCGGATCGGTTGATGTGGGCTGGGGTTTCTCAGGATTGTACATTTGCTTTGCGCTGGAGCGGTTTCGCCCCCCATCCCTGGTTGATCCACCCCGCGGGTAACGTCGCAGGAAGAGTTCGGACATTTGGTTCGTAGTGCCAGCGATGCTGTCGCGGACATTGACCGCGCCACGGGGGGGGGTCGTCCAGAAATGTCCTACCATATTGCAGTGTTGGTTCTTCGTTTTGAAGAGACACCGCCCCGCGTCATTCCTTCCGGCCCCCTCCCTCGTCCTCCCTCTTCGCGTATCTGCCCCTGCTCTCCGCGTGTCCCCGTCGTCATCGTCCATCGTCATCGTCGCCATCACCATCATCATCAGCATCATCAGCATTCTCGTCGTCTCCATCCCATCAACATCATCAAAACACCCCCCTTGTTCCCCCGCGTCTCTGCTTCGCCACATCCCCCGCAAGTCTCGTGGCCTTGTGAGGTGTTCCACCGAAGGCCCCATCGGCAGGGTCCTTAGTGCGCCGCCCAGCCCATGTCGGCACGCCCCTCAGACGCTTCGTGTCCCCATGAGGAGTTCATCGGAGGTCCCGGCGGCAAGGTCCACATGCCGTCGCCCAGGCCACATTGACACACCCTCAAACATTTCGTGCCCCCATAGGCAGCTCCACCAAAAAAAGTCCCAGCGGCAGGTTTCCCAGGCCGCCGCCCAGCATATTTCGGCATACGTTTCGCACGTTCCGTGGCCCCACGGGGAGCTGCACCGACGGCCCCACAGGCAGGGCCCACAGGCCGCCGCCCAGCCCATTCCGTCATACGCTCACACGCTTCGTGGCCCCATTGGGGAGCACCCCCGATGGCCCAAGCGACAGGGTCCACATGCCGTCGCCCAGCCCATGTCGTCCACGAGTGGCGCCCAGCACGGCTCCAAAAGCGCCCCAAGAGGCGCCGAGTAAGTTGCACCCTCATGCAAATAGTTTTTGTCACTTGTGGGGGTCCTCTTGGGGCCCTCTTGGAGCATTCTTGGGGCCCTCTGGGAGCGTTCTTGGAGCCTTCCCGGGGCCCCAGTGGGCCCCCGGAGGGCCCCGAGAACGTTCCCCGAGGGCCCCAAGAGGGACCCCCCAAAGTGGTACAAAGAATTCGCGCGAACGTGCAATCTGTTGTAGGCCTTTCGGGGCCCTCTGGGAGCTCTCTTGGGGCCCCCATTGGTGGCGCCTTGGGGCCTTGGGATGGCTCCAAGAGGCTTCGGGATTGCCCCAGACCGCCACAAGACAGCTCCGAGACGGCCGTCGAGCACCACGGGTGAAAGCAAGTGAGGCTAGGGAACAGGGCCTCTGGTAAGCCGCCACTGCGCCCCCTGGACTACCCAGACAGCGAGGGGACCTGAAACGCCCTGGGGCTCCAGGGGCCCCAGATTAGTGAAGTGAAGGTTTTTGCCATGCCAAGCACCCCGAAATTCTTCACTTCACTAAACTGGACCCAGGACGAACTCGCTACGCTCCAGTCCCGCGGGAGATCCGAGACTCCCGCCGCCGCCCGGGGACGCTGCTGCATTGCGGTGCTCTGGTCACTGTTAATGGCTTCCGCGGGCTGCAGCGGCTCACTTCCATGACTACCCCGACTCACGAATCCAGTGGTTGGTCTGGCTCTATGGGTTGGTTTCGTTGTGTCGGTTGATTTTATGTTTGGTTGGCGGTCGGTGGATTTCGCGTTGTTCATTGGTGTCGTGAAGTGATTTGTCGTTTGGTTGGTCAGTGCCGTTTTGTTGATTCGTGCCGTTTTGTTGGTTGGTGTCGTTTCGTTGGTTGGTGTCGTTTTGTTGCTTGGTGTCGTTTTGTTGCTTGGTGTCCTTTTGTTGGTCGGTGTCGATTTGTTGGTTTGTTGGTTGGTGTCGTTTTGTTGGTTGGTGTCGTTTTGTTGCTTGGCGTCGTCCTGGCGGCGTGGCCGATAATCGGCGGCCTGCAATGGCGCCAGGATTTGTTTCGGGCCAGCCTTGATCGCCCTCATCATTCTCATATTCGTCAGCGTCAGCACTCGTCGCCCCCATCCGCGCACACATGCGGCCCTGGTACGGCTCTCACGCGGCCCTGCGAAGGCCTTCACTGTGCTCCCCAAAGCTTTCTGAGGGGCCCCCCAGAGGCCCCAAGAGGGCACTGCAAATTGTCGCTTCCAACTCCGCCAGGCGGAGGTCAACAAGGGTCTCACTGGTGCACTTCCAGGAATCGTCGTTCGATCCTCTTGGGGCCCTCCTGGGGCCTTCTGGAGCCGTCTTGGAAGCTCCGAGCGGCTCCATGAAGGCGCCGGGCGATATCGCTTCCAATTCCGCCAGGTGGAGTTAGACCAGGGGTTCACTGAGGCCCCTTTTTGCGCCCTCCTCTGCCTTTGAAAAAGCCCCGATGGGGTTCTTCAGTGCCGTCTTAGGGCCCCTAAGAGGCCTCCAGTAGGGTATTGAAGTTATCGCTTCCAACTCCGCCACGCGGAGTTGAACCCAGGGCGGCTCTCTGTGGCCCTTTCGGGGCCTTCTTAGAGCTTTTCTGAGGCCCTAAGTGGGCCCTGGGAGGTGTCATTTTCACGGGAGTTGAAAGTGACACCGCGGAGGGCCCTCTTGGGCCCTTCTTGGGGCCTCTCTTGGGTCCCTCTGGGGGCCCTCTTGGTGCCGCCCTGGGGCCTTCTCGGGGCCTTCTTGGAGCCTTTCTGGTGCTCTTTAAGTGGGCCCTGGGAGGTGTCACTTTCAGGGGCGCTGAAAGTGACACCTCGAAGGGCCCGCTTTCCCTCGTAGCGCTGCCCGTGGCCGGGGCATTGTGCAGCGCATCCCTCGTCGAACGCATTTTGTCGGACGCGTGGTCGAATTCCGCCAGTTCGGTCGAGATGGTGGTCAAGCGGTTCGGTTGCAATGTAGCCATGCGGATCTGAGCTTACCATTTCTTGCCATTTTGGCGGGGGCTCGCAGGAGCGTTTGTGTTGTGATCAACTGTGCTCGATATATCCAGCGGCAGCGTTTCATCCCAAGTATTTTGAAAAGTCAGCAGGGGCCAAATTGGTGATGTGAAGCAACATAGGTCTCGTAACAAGGGTTTGCGAGATCCCCCGAGCACCCAGCCCCAAGCGGAGCTGCTGGTGTATCATATCGCCATGTATGGGCGAGACGGAGGTTAAGAGTCGGGTCGATTTGCTTGAACAGTCCCCCGGTAGCATCACGAGGCCGCCACAGCATTTCACATCGAGCATGATCGGAATTGATTGCGCGGTCATCCGGGCTGGCACCAGCTAGCCAGATCGCGAAAATATCCAGTGGAAGGGACTACAGATTGCGGAGGCAGCCGTCGTGCAGGAGGCGCCTATCACACCGCGGACGGAGTGTCTGGAAGACAGCAGGTTGTCAGATAGACGCCGCCAGAAGTCTCGACGCTTCGCGTATCCCCACCAGTGGGAGACCTCCTCCCTTTCCGCGCACGTGAATGCCCCTGGCTGCGCTGGGCACACTTCAACGGCGAATGGTGTTGGTGGTGCGAGCTCTGCCAGAAGCTTTGTGACGGCAAGGAGCACCTGCTAGTGTGGGAACGCTGGCACGAAGGCGACAGGCAATGGGCCGACGAGTGGCCCGACCCCCGGGAGTTCACTTCACCAGGCAACCTCTGGGCCATGACAAATGGTACGGAGAACGACCACGTCCACAATTGCAAGATCAGCAGATTCCGTTGGGACGGGTGGAAGACGTCGGTGCCGGGTGAGGGTCAAGGGCAGCCCCACCTCCCCGAGTGGACGTTCCCAGACGACTGGGACTATGTTCCAGTCAACTTCCCTTACAGGGACGACAGCCACGGCTTCGTCACCCCCACCGGCACAATTCACTCCATGGACACACGCCCACCCTCGCAGCTGAGGTGGGCCTGGGGAAGAGCGTCAAGGGGGGGACCCAGTGTCTGGGGCATCCCCGGCCTAGCCTCCGCACAACACCTAAACAACACAGCCAGACGCGACGTAGGGGACAGCAGACCCAACGCCTCCAGCAGGGCCTCCTTTCAGCAATCTGCTGACAGGTCCCGAGCCGAAGCAAACAAGAGTATGGAGCAACGCGGCCAACACGGCGCACCCCCAGAGGAGATAAGAAGGGTTTCGCTAGAGTCGCCAGCTGTGGTTGCCGCCGACGCCGTCAGGCAGCTGTATTCCGTCCCCGCCAACAGCGGAGCCGCCCAGTTTCGTCTGCACATCCCTCTGGGGACAATCACGGAGGCTGTCCACCTCTCAAAGCACTGGGAACCAGATCTGCGGCAAAGAGGGCGCAACCTCGAAAGATTGGCCTGGGCCGAATGCATGGCATCGACCGAGACGGTTTGGGACAGCTCTACCAAGACCAGGACTGATCTCGAAAGGAGGTTGAGCTGCGCCTTAGGGGTGTCAGTCACCCCCGTCAACGAGAACTCAGAATGTGACACCCTCGACCGTTTCAAGCTGAGAAACGCGTTTCCCACCCAGGTTGGGAAAGTGCTATTTCACTTACACTGGCCTGAAGTGTTCAGGATCCTCCTCAAAGGCCAGGACGCGGGGCAGGATGCACGCGCGCTTCTCCTCAGCATCACCAGCCCAGCAGTGGACCAGGTCGCCTCAGTCAAGCTACTTTGGCCACCGGACCTCGGAGGCACGACCACCTCGAGTGGCTGCCAGGCACTGGGGCTCAGACTGGGCTCTAGGTTTCCCAGCAACGAATGCATTGTAGTGTACGGCGCTGGAAAATTTGGGGAGTTTCACGCGGATGACAGGATCGCTAGGCCCACCAACGTGGGCCAATCGTGGTACAGGATGGACAGGGCCCCCTCCATGCTCCAGTTTCGTCGGATCTCAACCGCAATCACTGAGATCTACAGGCTGCAGCAGGCCCCACGCGACCTAATCGGGCCCCCCCTGGGCGTCACCACTTACCTCCTCACCTTTCGCACGGCCGACAAAAAGGGCAAG